TCCTCGAAATTGGTGTTAGTTCTTTTTCAGTTTGGCTTATGTTCTTAATGTAGCGCTTGATTTGCCGGGCGACGTGGAAAGTTTTGTCAGTCGAGTTCAGGATTGCATTTCACAAGCAGATGAGATCGACAACAAACTTCTACAGGTACGTTGTGGAACGTTGTACCTTGATATGCGACATTTGTCAGAATTATTGCGCGACTTCGGGGTTTTAACATCTGGTGAATTTTAACACAACACACTTTTACAGCAACAACATAAAAACAGCAATTTAACAACTTAACATAGCAGTTTAACAATTTTGCATAATTACAGTTTGAAAGCGGTCTGCCCACCACTTCCTTGGCAATATCCGCTGCTTATCGGCTGGCTGAAAAGGCGAAGAAGGCGGTTGCCATCAAACCGGTCAGTACTTGCTGCTAATACTTGAATGTAAGAAGATGTTTCAGGCGGACGCCGTGAAATTCGCTAACTATCTGATTAGCAAAAGAAGTTCCCGAAGCTCTCAGATGGCTTACTATTTTCTTCTTGGCATTACCACGATTTCGTCTAACCAGGTGACTGCTTTCCTACATCTTCGTTTGGACAAGATGCCTTAAACGATAGTATACATTTTAGTTTCATTTGCCGGTTGTTTTCTCGCTGGAAGGCGGAATCGCCATCGATCAGAATCGTCCGAAAATACTAGTAACCTATACACGATGATTTCTCTGTCATACTTTTTGTTCTAAGGTGAAAGTTGTGGATATCCTCGGTCGTCCGATTGAGTCTGTCAAAGTTGTCTTGGACACGGCCACTCACGCAGCAACTAGCGCCGTTGTAATAAGCAAGAGAGTTTTGACACCCGTGTCAAGCGACAAGTAAGAAAGTTAGGATAGTTTTGTATGCTGCATTTCGTTATATTTGTGAGAAGTTAGTGAGTCTGCCAATCTGCTCTTCCAGAGTTTTGTTAATTAACGACAGAATTTTTTAGTTCATCAGTTCTGTCATCAGTCGTCGTAGTTTAAGAGCTGCATGTACCATGCTTTTTCAGTAGCTTTTTTTGGCATCGCAGACATGTGTAACAAGAACTGTCGAAACTTCGTGAACTGCCACTCCAAAGAAATTTTGATTCTGTTTGCTGATATAGTCACAATTTTTGCTCCTAAACAAAGGGAGTGGAACAAGGAAGAAACAGAACTAAGGGGCAGGAGAAATGAAATGGCGAAGTATATGAAATAAGAAATGAGCGCGCGATAGGAGAGGAGAAATTGGTGATTGAGTGGGAGAAACAGGAAATGACGTTGCAAAAAACGAATGGACAATTTGGTTGTACGAATGAAGAGAAGGATTGAAGGAGGAAATAAATGCAGACAGAAAGTTATGTACTGAAGACGTTGAAGACAAACGAATGAAGCCTAAATGCTTGAAGCCAGACGTTAAGCAATGTCTGAAGAAAGACGATAACCGTAATTTGAGGGCAGGGTGCTTCAAAGCAGACGTCTGATTATGAATTTTTACGAAATTCTAGACGACAAGAAAGAGTCAATGCATAGGAAACATGTAACGAAAGACTGATAAGATGAAGGTGAAGCGCGATAATACGAAAGCAGAAAGTCATGAAAAGTGTCACGGTAGAAAGAAAGGAACAGCGAAAGAAAAATACTAACCAGTCAGGTATGCGGTTCGCATAAATGCGACTTTAAGATTGAGGGAAAGCTGCATGTCAGTTGCGATTTATGACGGAAGACAAGAAAGTTAAGCTGAGTGGCGGACAAAAAGATAGGAAACAGCAGAAAGAAGCAAGAAAATCAATTTCAAGAAATGGGCAAGAAGGAAAGTGATATAAGCAGAGGAATGATTAGATCAAGATGGTGTGGACTCGACCATATATGAAAGAAATTTAACTTTCAACGAAAATAAAATTTAATAGATAAATGGCGACAGATGGAGATTACCAGGATACCGAGGAAATCTGGTGATTGGATACAGTGAGGAAATTGAGGCTATAAGAAATAAATAAGACATTATTAAAACTATGCAGAAGAATGGCATGAAGGCAAAATGAAGGAATGGAAGTGAAATGAAGGATTTCAAGAGTTACTATCTTATTTCGTCACAGAGTACCGCTGCGAACATAATTGCATTGCTGTAATCATCAACAGTGAAATGGAAGAAATCGGCGCTTTGATGGTAGTTGACGAATTGACACGCAATACACAAAATCGGAAAGCTACTCAATAAATTGTTTTGACAGCGGATACAGGGCATCTTACATCAGATAGAGTGCAAGCTTTGAATTCAGTTAACATCAGTATTCATCTTGAGAGGACGTCCGTAGACAGTGATGCAAATGATGATGCACAGAGAATCACACTGTTAGGGTAGAAACAGCTGTAGAAAGCACATGGTCAGACTTCTCAGGACTGTGGAGAGTCATAAAGCTGATCTCGTTGACATAGGACGGATTAGAGTGCGCTGTCATCCAATGCTGAATCTCGAACTATTGCTGGTTTTGCAAATGTGTGCCCTCACTGCGGTAGCAAAGACCGGTACCAAGACAGTATCAAAATCTCAAGCTGTCTGTTGCTCGCGAAGAAAGAATGCCGGAGCGGGTGTTCTGAGTCAAACACCTCGGTAACGACAAAGGCAAGTTGTGAATAAGAAATCAGCACGGTGCTCACATGGCGCCTTCTAACACGCATTAACTGAAACATGTAATGATGGTCATATACAGTACCACGGAGATGTAACTACTTACGGTGCTAGTCATGCCAATACCTTTGTTAAAATATACAAGTGAAAATTTAAGGATGAGGTCATCAGAAGAATTGCAATCATTAAAATATGGTACGATTAGCTCATCGTTCCCGCGAGTTGCGTGGAGCACTGATCAAACGTTTCAAGATATTGTAGCAACGCCTTAATGTCTGAATGATAAAGAGGATGTGAATTGTTCTTTTCTTGCATAAAGAGGTTGTTCCTTCTTCGTACAGCGTCGGATTCATTCCTGCAAAAGCAGGGCAAAATGTGTTACCGACTGCTGCGTCGTTTGCAACTAAAACTCCAGCGAGTCGATGAATCTATAGGGTCGCCTGTTGTCTAAGACCCCACTGTTCAAATATTTCTGTTGCATCATATGAGATAAAAAATAAGTCGACATGAAGTAAAAAATCGATTGAAAGGTACCTGGCTCAAATGAATAGAAGTCAACAGTATGCTCTTTTACGAAAATACCTACTAAGCTAAATAGTAGAGACATATTTATGTCAATTTTATGGAAGTGAACGTTGACCTGCGTTAAATAGATTCATTGAATCATAACTGCAACTAGACGCAAATGCTCAAACGGATGTATGGTGTCAGCAAGAAGGGTCAGTTCGAAACACCTTCAAATAAATACACTAGAGCTATCTATAATGATAAATGAGCTGATAGATGCAGACTCACGATTCAACTGTGTGGAAAGAAATGCTGAGGACTATGTCGACAGTGGCCGAAAGCTTGATAATTCCAGTTAAAAAAGAAGAATCGGAAGGCCATAGAAAAATGGCAGTGTTGTAAAGAAAGACATAATACGCGGCTTCCTAACAAACAGTTTTGATTGAAGATAAAAGAATGGAGGCAAAAGCAAACATTTGCAGCTGAACTCTGTTACAGGAAATAAGCGTTTCTCACCTGCTAACGTCGACAGAGACGTTAAGTGGAGTTTACAGATCGTCGGCGAAAGGTGTTAAAGATGCCGTATGAGAATAGATTTAAAAAATGAATAACGCTATTCAATAAGAATAAACTATACTATTCTGGGTTTGCTGGTGAATTGCTAGTTTTCAATACCGCCGGCAAAAAACAACAGCCTTCAGTCATTTTTTCGGAATTCGGTTTGTGTATAGTTTAGTTTACTTGCTTCTAGTAGGCCAGTATCACCATTCAAGTAGGCCACAGCTTTCTGGCATCTTAGCTATTAATTTGCTAGCAGACCCATAATACTGAGGTTTCTGTTGTAATAGATGCCTGTGGATCGAGGTATATTCTTTGGTGGTCGAGTGGGTTTGCTCGACCCAATAAATTGGCGCTTTTTGCGCACATGCACTCCAGGTACTAAAATTTTATGGCGCGGTGACCTGTTTAAGTGGTGGTGACTCTGACCTATTAGAAGCAAGAAGACGATGCGATTATGCCGCGCGAATTCTAAGAAGTGACAAGAGTTTGTTATTAAATTTCTTCTCGATGCACGGTATAAGACATGCTTTTAAGGATTATGTTAACGCGTTTTGATGCCGCCTGATGGTGTTTTGGGTTGCCCAGTAACGACACGTGTTGTAGTACACTTTATTTTTCTCATACCATGTATCGAGATAAGGAACTAGATTGGGAGAGGTTACGATTGTTAATTTTCTGACCGAAATGTTTTTAGGACGTTTGTTCTCCGCACCAACAAGATTCATTGTGCTTTTGCTCGTAACGGGAGACCCAGTGAATGCTACCGCCTTCTCCAACAGAAATTGTAATGTACAATAATTTTAAGTGGGTCCGGAATCAAGAAGAGATTAAGAGCAGGTTGTATGTGGTCGAATATCAGTTTTTCCCTTGGTTGTAACTGACATGCCTTACAATGCTGTCACAGAATTTCTTATTCATGAGGTTAATATTTACAGCTTTGTGGTGACTGCCCATGATCTTCATTCCCATACATAGCAGACTAGTTTATATACATAAGAAGAAAGTAAGACGAGTGACTTTGCTGGCACTCGATACTCTGTCGTTTAATCGACTGGACTATCAGTCCCCAGAAATGCAAAGCAAAAACTGTTTCCTTGCACTTTAGCACTTAAGCAGTACTTCAGTGATGAGCAACCCTGAAGTATAGAAACTATCGATATAGAACTTTATATTATGTGCATCTTACATTTCGCTGCGTATTGATAGGTATAGCTCACGTCAAGAAAGAAGTTTTTATAATGAATTTATAATTTTATAATGTCATATTTAGAATGCATATCAGTTTCGAAACAACCTTCATGGATCCTGTGCTGAAAGCCGGATTTTATGTGCTGTCATTCACCGCTTCTGTGGAAGGCGATAAGCGGTTAATCGGTAACTCAGGGGCGGCAGTTACCGTTAAGGTTATGAATGAAATCCATATCGCGAATGCGAAACTTAGCATTGCCGACAGAGAACAGATTGCTGCCGAAGGGACCTCTTCAAAGTACCTACCATGTTTTAAAAGAATAGCTTTCTTATGCTTTATAGACTAACCCCATACAATAAGTTGAGTAATTTGCTCGAAGCTGATCACCATCAGAAAATAATAATCAAGTTCTCTGTGATGGATAAGAAATCTGAATTTATCAGCGTCATCCAGGTTCTATCGTTTAATTTTAATTTTATGTACTATCGTTAGTTTCAGGCCTTTGTACAGTTTGTTCACAAGGAATCCCGCGAGGAAGTGACATTTGTTGCTGAACCTGATAAAACAAAGATGCACAAGTTCGATGTGGTAATTAAGTTGTGCTCAAAGTTTTTTAAAAATAATTTATTGGTAATTGATTGGTTGTAGGATCTTCACAAATCCTCCAAAGATTTCAACTACAAATCCGGAAAGTACGAAATTCGTTTGATAGTTGCAGATCCATTGATCACCAATCCGGTTTCGTGGTATTTGGTAAGTTTGTATTCCCACAGCAAGTGTCTTAAGCTTTTACAAGCAATGCGTCAAAATTTTTTCTGTTGTTAAATCAAACAATCTGGCGATATCCCGTGTAGCTAAACAGGCAAATTACTGGTGCAAGTGTTCGGTTCAGTTGCACATGTCTGTCTTGTTTTAGGTAGGAATTGCGCAGCGTATCGCCGCGCATGCCATGTTATTGTATGGATGCTGTGTTTCGTGGGTTCCAGCATAATTTCAGCATTTACTTTCATGCTCCCGACTGGATAGCCATTGCTGGTAATTAGTGTCGTCTCATTTTCACGTCTCGCAGAACAAACGAATCAGCATCGAAGGCTATAGGCTCGAGTTCCTTGTGAATCCTTCAGCGTCCTTCAGCTTAAATAGGTACGTTACTGTTACGGTGAGTGAGACGAAAGGAAGAGATTGCAACATGTACTTCTACTTTTTGCTGTTAATATTGTCTTCATAATTCAAAGCCACTCTTTACTGCTGGCATCGTAACCAAGCTTTGCACCTCATCGAAAGCTCCGTGAAAGAAATGTCTGATAACTGATATTCGTCATAAAAGTTTACGAGAACCCATATTCCCCCGGTTCTTTCATACGCTGCCTTTTGTTATTTTCTAATCGGAAGAGGCGCAACGTCAGGGAGCATTTCCAGTGGCCTCCTCTCTGTACATAGGCCGGACTGTATTCCAGGATTGTTCATTAATGGATGTTCAGTGAAATAGTACAATAAATCGGTTGGACACTTTACTACGCAATATGACTGATTGTGATGCGGCTCTTCGCAGAAAATCGATCTTGTTTGTCTTTTCTCTAGCATTCTGAGCACGGATGTAAATCATCGCAGTTATCTTGCGATTGGAAACATTTTATAGGAAGCGAGAGCTTCTCTAATAGGAAGCTTGTCCAACCATCAGCCATTTTCACGGTAGTTGTTCTTTGAAAGAACCTGTTATTTTTGTCAATTCTATGCGAAATCATACTCATTTGGCCAGTATTTACAGTCGTAATTGCAAGCAAGGGTCAGGACGTAGGTGGAGATAGAACTAGGCACAGATAGCTTCTTCTACTTTTACGTTCTTTGCGTTTGCAGAGTGAAGGTCAGGTGTAACTAAGTCGGTGAAGTATTATATCTTCGCTCGAATACTCATGAGTTACAATCCTGCCCGAACTATTCGGTTTTCGTTCTTCTAAGGAAGATAAATGAGTACCAGTTTGTAGGCGTCAGGCTGGAGGATACACGCTGTAGTAATCACTAGGCTGTAAGTATTACCTTCAAAAGAAACAAAGCATTGCACGTTAATGGCTGTTCACCCCACAAACTCCACGAAGAATGAGTGTTATGATTTTCTCTGCTTACGTAAATGTGCAGGACTACGCCATCCCAGCAGTTAGAAACCTCCTCCATTTTTAAACATCGTAATCAGTGGCATTTTGCAAGAGTGCAACGGCTTCATTTCTAGTCAGACTGACCTTCATTCCAAGCACGTCTCATGCGGCTGTGAACATATCGATTGCGTGTTTGAAGCTAGCAAAAAGTTAAGCAAATATAACGAGATCATTTGCAAATATAACTGTGACGTAATCGATGCCTGGGTAGTATTGCTAATGTAGTCCATAAAACTTACGGACAGGTGTAAGAACAACACATTCTACTGGCAGAGACCAGCACGCACCTTTAAAGGCACAAGCTTCCTGTCGTTAATTCACGCACAGTCATCTAAACAGGTGTATAAACTTTTAATTCCCTTTGTCATTCTTTCTCTTACTGTAGTCTGTGAAGCAGGCATCTATATCTTTTGCATATTCTCAAAAGTTTTTGCAAGTTGGACAGAATAAAATTCCACTGACTACAGGTGTTGCCTGTAATTTCGTTAGCGTATTTTATGGAAACTTTCAGGCTGACATTGTTCTGGCACTACCGGAAGCTGTTAGCAAAGAGCGCGTTGAACGCTTGTCATACGAAAAGCGACCAGAGATCTTTCACACATTCCGTCAGCCAGAAAAGTTGCCCCCGGTTGTCATTAGTAACGTATTTACGGTTCTGGTGTTGTCTCCGCTGCTATTGCTGTTCATTCTGTGGTTCCGAATCGGCGCTAACGTTCGTGGATTTCCATGCAGTTTTTATGCCGTTGGCTTCCATGCTTGTCTCGGCGGTACATGCAGTATGATGGGCTTGGGCCGTTGTGCTAATTCTTGGCTGGTTTTAGCGATCTTCGCGCTGTACTTTGTGTTTTGGTTGAAACTGAATATGTTTCAAACTCTCAAGTATCTTCTTGGAATTAGCCTGTTGACGTTCGTTTGCGGAAACCGCACTCTCCGTTCGATATCCGAGAGAAAGTATGCGCCTCATCGTTTCTTGCATAGCCACTAATATTTTTTTATAGGTTGAAGACAGAGTGAAGGTGTCAGTGGTTTTTGGTGCTATTCGAAATTTCGGAATTTGCTAACGCAGTTTGTTAAGTATCGAGTGGTTGTTAAACTTTTTTGTTATCTTTCGTTTTCACTTTTCCTGTCGCTGAATAAACGTTGATGTTGTTACGTGAAATTTTAAAGTCACCATTAAGACAGGAACAGGATTCTTGCCTCAGAAACGCCTAGCATGCGTTTTTTTAGGCGTTATGCATAACTGCCCATTTTGGATCTTAAATAACATTAAGTAAAAAATGTCAGTTTCGATTGCCATGTATCCTTTCGAGTCGCAGAGGCAGGTTGTCAGACACTGTCTTCAACTTTCTTGATCCTGTGTTAACCATTAATCGTTGGCATAAGATGATCCGAATTTGGACTATGATCCCTCAATACGCCAGGGTATTCTTGATTGTCCTTTGGGCCTTCAACAAGTTGGTTTGCACAAGTAGTAGCTTTTCCGCCTTCCTTTTGAAAGCACTTGCATTATGTGCCTAAACCATTGCAGCTGTGACTTCTCAGTTTGGAAACGCAGCGGCCGCCTACCAAGCCTCTCGGGTATCTGTAATCCAAATCATGTCGAGATGCGCACCCTAGCAATTCGTCTCAGACAGCCAATTTCAGCTGCTTATACGCGGGATCGAAGATTTTTATTCATGAGCGTAGACAAACATTGAAATGAAGTCCGAGTTTAATATGAAGAGCTAAGACCTCAGACATCACTGCTTTATTCACAATATTTCAGGTTGGTACGCGCACGAAGCCTTTGGCCATTCCGATTCGCCTGTCGATCTCATCCATTTACTATCATCGGTAAACACGATCCCACTTGTTACGCTGCTTCTCCGTTTATTTGCAAAGCGCAACGGCATCAGAACTAGAAAAGGAAACACCTGGCTTTTCGTTTTAGGCACATTGACATGCATTATGTTGCGAATCATTGAAGAGAACACTGGAGATAAGATTCAGAAATGCCAGCAGCGCAAGGTCGTGTGCAAGGAGCATCTTTTTCGTCTCCACGTCTCTTACGTTGATACTTTTGTCACCCTGGCTGCGCCTCACCATCATATACATGTACAAGACGAACCAGACAGCCAAGACCAGTGCTAACTAAGCACCATTTACTCTGATGCAGCATCTGACATCGGCATATTGTGACCTGTTGGCTCATAGCATGTAGTTAATGATTCCATGCGTTTGCATGCTATGTCCATATGTAGTTGAACGGGATCCAGTCATACGCCTTCTCTGAGTTCACAAGGCAAAAGTATATTTCATGAGGGAACTGTCACGATTTCTCAACGGTATGGCGCAAAGCGAAGATCTCGTCGTAAGTGCTTCGGTTTGACCTGAAGCTACGCTGCTCGTGTGTCTTAGAGTCCGTTATTCCACTGCTCCTCTTCTAACACTACGTAGGCTTTTACCGGGATTCTCAATAAAATAATGCACTTGGCCTCCCTTCTTTACCAAGAATACTAAAACCCCTGTTTTCCGCATCACTTAGTTTTTCTCGTGTCTATCACTGCTGTATGCAAGACAGGTATTAGCCACAAGATGCCATGTTCGCCTGCAGCTTTAAGCATTTCAGGGCGGATTTCATCGATTCCTGCAGTTCGGCCACTTTTAAAGCATTCTACATCTGTGACTTCGTTTACTGAAAGACGATTACTCGCTATTTGGTGTACTTCAGGCAAATCTTGCTATGGTTGTTCGGTGTTAAGGTGCTCCTTAAAATACTCCCTCCATTTTCGAAGCTCTCATCCATTGTAACAAGACACGGGCTTTGTCTTTCATGATGTCCCTCCTTACATCGGAGGCGGCGAATGATCTGCTTGAATATCTTGTTTTTTGCCTGGAAATTCGATTCCAGTGCCTCATTCAACTTTTCCCATGATTCTTTGATTTAGCTTTTGCTTTCGCTGCCGTCATACGTGCTTTTTATTGCACTCGAGTTGAAGGCTCTTTGATTCTAAACAGCCTCTTGAACATAGCCCTCTCGGTGACAGCCTGTTGTACCTTTCGTGTGCAATTTCGTCTTTGGCTTCCAGGCGACCGGTCAACCCGTTTAAAACGTAACTCTGAGTAAAGGTTTTTTAAAGAGCCTCCATTTAGTTTCCACGTTGGTCGTCATCACTGGGATCATCTCAAATCTGTGATAAGCTAAAGCGTCAGACTTAATTAATCTCTATACTCGGTTCCGGGCCTGATATCTCTGATGATGATGGCAGCAACAGTAA